TGGGAGGTGTCCTGTCAGGGCTCCATTTGGCAGGAAGGGTGGAAAGGTAACACTGGGACCCCAGGGCCATCCCGCCCAGCCCTATACCGCTCTGTTCCCATCTATGCAGCCCCGGTCCCCTCCCAGAGGATGCATGTGGGAGTGGGGAAGGGGTCATGTGGGGTGGGCCCTCCCTGAGGAGGCGCAGGCTGATGAGGGGTCAGAACCTGGTGGGCAGGTGGTGTTCACTCCCCAGGTCCAGGCTGGCTGGTGGGATGGGGTGTGGGGGCGGTGTCTTTCTGCCCAGGGCTGACCCTGGCCCTGTATGGGTCGCTGCGTCCCGGGTGCAGGGCTGTGCACACCCAGGTCTGTGTGTGATCTGGGAGCAGCAGGGGGAGTGGGCAGGACCACAGGGAGGAGGGCCGGGCGGGGCTCTGAGGCCTCCGGGTGGCTGCTGGTCCCTGTCCTTGCAGAGCACCGTAGAGGCCAGAGGTGAGAGGCCAGGGGACACCCTCCCCACGTCTCTGGAGAGGGGCAGCCGTGCCCCGCAGCCCAGCAGGGCCACCACAGACTCCGGGCTGGAGGGGCTGCACCAGGGTCTCTAGGACCAGGGACCGAGGAGCCATGGCCCACAGAGAACGAGTATGAGAAGCTGGGGTGGGGTGTCTGGGCAGGTGTGGGTGCTGGGCCCCACAAGGAGGAACCCCAGAGGCTGAGGTGGGGCCAGGAGCCAAAACTGGGCTCAGAGCACCCAGCTGGGGGACAGTCGTCAGGGAGATGCCCTGGGGGGGGGGGTCCTTCCTGGCTGTGGCCCCTCTGGGAGGCCCTCAGCTGGGTCTGTCCCTACAGGGGCTCATGGAGAGGCAGGCATGGTGGGAGGGCCTCTCTCCTCTCACAAGGGGAACCCTCAGAGCCCTCTCCCACGGCCCCCAGTCACAGATGTAGAGCAGCCAGGAGCAGGGGTGGGAGCCCGCACCCCTGCAGAGCCCAAGGATGGTCCCCCTGCAGCCGGAGGGCCCCCTGCAGAGGCTGTTCCTGCATCCGCAGCTCTGGGGGAAGAGGGGGTGTCCACAGAGACTCCTGCAGGGGCCCTGGAGCCAGAAGGTGACCTGACAGGAGTGCTTGCAGAGCAGCCACACGAGGAAGAGGAGCTGTATCCCAAGCAGGGGGAGTTGGCATCTTCTCCTGCCCCAGGCCCTTCTCCAGCTCCTGACTGACCCTGCTCTAGCTCCTGACCCTGCTCTAGCTCCTGACCCTGACCCTTCTCCTGACCCTGCTCCAGCTCCTGACTCTGTTCCAGCTCCTGACTCTGCTCCAGCTCCTGACCCTGCTGCTGCCCTTGCCTCAGCCACTAACCAGTGTTCCTGCCCCCACACCACCTCCTGCTCCTGCTCCTGCTCCTGCTCCTGCTCCTGCCCCTGCTCCTGCCCCAGCGGCTGCCAGTGATCCTGCCCCTGCTCAGGAAACTGCTCCTGACCTAGCTGCTCCTCCTGTTCCTGCTCCAACACCCGCTACTGCTTCTTGTCCTGAATCTACTCCTGCTCCTAACACTGACCCTGTCCCTTCACCTGCTCCTGATCCTTCCCCTGATTGTGACCATGATCCTGCTCCTGCCTCTGCTCCTGACCCTGCACTTACCCCTGCCCCTGATGATGACCTTGCTTCTGCCGCTGTGCCTGCCCCTGCTCTAAACACTGAATTTGGTCCTGATCCTGTCCCTGCTCCTGATCTTGAAAATGACCTTAGTCCTGCACCTGCTCCTGCTGCTGCCCCTGCTGGTGCTCCTGCTCCTGACACTGACTTTCCTTTTGACTCTGCTCCTGACACTGAACTTGCTCCTGCTTGTACTCCTGACCCTAACCTGGCTCATGTCCCTGCTCCTGTCCCTGTTCCTGACACTGCCTCTGCTAATACCCCCGCTCTTGCCCCTGCTCCCGACAATGACCTTGCTCCTTCCCCATCTCCTGACAATGACTCTGCCCCTGCCCCTGTTTGTGACACTGACTGTTCTTCTGCCCCTGCTCCTGATAATGAACCTTCTTCTACCCCTGCTCTTGACCTTGCTCCCCACACTGACCCTGCCCCTACTCCTGCTCCTGCTCCTACCTGTGCCCCTGGTACTGACACTGACCCTGTTCCTGCTCCTGACAATGACCTTGCTCCTGGTCCTGCTCCTGACACTGACCCTGGACCTGTTATTGCTCCTGCTCCAGGGCTGGCCCTTGTCCCAACTCCTGGCCTTGCGCCTCCTCCTGACAATGACTTTGCTTCTGCCCCTGGTCCTGACATGTATCCTGCCCCTGCCCCTGGTCTTGACAGGGACCCTACTCCTCCCCCTGCCCCTCCTCCTGTTCCTGCAGGGCTCCCAGAGACACACCCAGAGCCCACAGCCCTTCGAGGAGACCTCCTTGTACAATCACCCTTCAGTCCATCACCTGACCCCGACCCACCGCCCACATGTCATCCCCTCCCCCTGTGGTCTTTCTTTCTGGTATCTGTTCACTGTCTTTCTATCTTTACACATTCTGTGTGGCATATACTATTTCTTTTAAATAAAATTACTTCTTTTCAATTGAACAAATCATAAGTATGAAGTGTGTTCCCGCAACTGTGCCACCACATCACAGAACTTTGCTGTAGAACATCTCAGTCCCCAAAGGACACCCTGACCCAGAAGCCTTCCCAACCCATTTCTCCCCCAGCCCAGGCTCTGGAAATCCCTAAGTTGCTCTCTCTCTCTCTGTCCCATTACGTGTTCTGGATGTTTCCTGTGAGTGGAATCCCACAGTAGGTGCCTTTGTGTCTGCTCACATATTTCAAAGGGATCCATTTGTGTGTGTTTATTTAACACAGAATTTCCTTTATTCAGTATTGAAATCCATGATGGATGAAAGAGGAGGTGTCATAACAGAGGCCCCTTAAGTAAATATGGGCACACTCTAGTGGTCCAGACCCCATCTTTCTGGGACCCCACAGCCAGACCCCAGGCAGGAAACAGTGGGTTCTCCCTGTGGCCAACACAGACACAAGGGAAATGCAGAAAGCTGGAAGACACTCCACAGGGGGCAGAAGCATTGTCACAACCCAAGGCCAGAGAAAGTTTTCACAAACCTCTGTGCAAACACTGCTCCACGTCCATGGGGTCCACAGGGACAGAGACCAACACATGCACGAGCAAGGGGAGGGGAGGACACGGGGAATATGTGTCAGAGATGGGAGCTCCCGGGGAGGGACTCTGGCAAAGGAAACCCTATGGGGCCAGCGCTGGTCACTTGCCCCATTTGCCCAAGAGGCTCTGCAGCCATAGCACTTATTAGACCACTGATGTGCACCAGACTCTATGGGTGAGAAAAATGATGCTATGTTTTGTGGCCATAGGAAGGGTGAAGCTGCGCAGGGGCGTGGAGCAAAGGGCCTGTGAAGATGGGTGGATGATGCCCCCTCCAGGTGAGCAGGTGTGAGCTGCCTTCTGGTGCTTGGAGGAAGTGAGATGTTATTTCCATTTCTTTCAGTCTGGGGGCCTGGCCATCCTGTGCTGGGTTTTCTCGGTGGGCGAGAGCAAACCCAGGGATTCCCTAAGCTTGGGCCACATCCTCAGCTTCCTGAGCTGGAGTTCTGACCAGGGATCCTCCCTGAAACTGGGAGGCTGCGGATGCTGAGCCCTGAGGTGTGGCAGGGCCTGGCAGGCAGACACTCACCCTGACCCACAGGAACTGTTCCAAAAGGTGGTGCCCTACAGCTGCCTGGGCTACATGTGGTCCCAGCAGGTCAAGAAGAGCAATGAGCACCTGCCTCCCACTGTCCATGCCATCATTACCTAGTCCAACCATGTGGCCAACTGCTTTGAAGACCAGAGTGTGACATTCAGGCGCAAGGCCAGGGTGGCACAGCACTGGATTCAGGGGGCCCCAATATGCCATGGCTGGGCCAAGGAGTCCCACTAGAGTGTAGGAAAGTCCTCTTTTTTTTTTTTTTTTTTCACCATTAGGTCTGCAAAGGTCTAGCTGTTTCCGCTGGGATTTTGCTTCCTCCAAGTTCTTGGGTAAATGGGGGTGGGTGTCCTTCCTTCCTCAAACCAGCCTGGCCTGTCCCAGCGAAGCCAGACTACTATTGCTCCTCCAGTGTGCAGTGCACCTGCAAGGGGAGAGCAGCCCACCTGCCCAGTACTGCCCAGTACTGCAGAGAAAGGTCACAGGCAGCAGAGCCTTCAGCCCCAACAGCTAGACTGCAGAGGGAGGCAGGTGTGGGTGTACCTCAGGGCGCCCCACTTTGCCCCTAGGGCAGAAGATGCTCATCACTGAGAATGCTGTGGAGCTCTTCATGGAAGCCCCCCGCAGCGGGAGCTTACAAGATAAGGCGGATGCATGACGTCACCCCCACCTGCCCAAGTGAGCAGGTAACGGGTTAGCTGGTGGGAAGCAGCAGGGGGCTAACGCATCCAGGCCGGTCCTCCCAGACCCTGCCCCAGGGGCTGGCCGGTGAAGGTGATCCTCCCGTCAGCGGGAGACCTGTCCTGGGAGGGTGAGGGCCAAGACCCTGCAGGGGTCTTCCCGAGGGGCTTCGGGCGGTGCACCGGGAGATCCCATAGCCAGACGCCCTGCTGCCAGGAGTAAGGAGGTGGCGCCCGCTGAAGGGACGCTCGTGGGGTGCAGGGCGGGAACCTGGGGAGGCAGGGTCGAGCGCTGGCGTGCCTGGCGCTGTTCGGTGTGCCTTGCGTAGACTGGCTCGGGCCGTTCGGTCGCTCACGGATGTAGGGTCACTGCGATTTCCATTTTGCCGTGTCCCGCTCTCAGGGAGGAGGAGCCCAGCCTGCGGGGCCCGGCTGCCCCGGCGTGGGAGAGGTCCTGGCTCCCGCCCCCGACGCCACCTGCAGGGCCTGCGGGGCCTGCCGCGTCAACGCCGGGAGGGCCCGCTAGAGGGCGCTGCAGCGGGGAGGCTCGGGGCGGTGTCGTCTGACCCTCGCGGGCCGCCGTACGCGCTATAAAAGGCGCGACGTGTGGGTGTGCGCCCCTTTTCGCGGCGGCGGGGCGGCTGTGCCTTCTCGAGAGCAGACGGGCCTGGCCCCCCTCAGGCAGCGGCTCGCTAGCCGAGGTTTGGCGCGCAGGTCCCGGCTTTCCGTAAGTCCGCGCTCGGTTTGGAAAGGCGGCCCGGTCGTTATTTAGTGCGTTATGGCCAAACGTAGGGCGGCGTCCGCGTGCCGCGGTGCCTGGGTCCCTCCCTGGCCGGGCCGCCTGCCGCAGAGGTGCCAGCGCTGCCGGCTGGAGTGTGTGCACCGGCCCCAGCGGCTGGCACGTCAGGCGGGACCCCCGCCCCTAACCCCGGTGTTGCGCTCGCTCAAGCCGGGTTGGCGGTGGGAGTTGAACGGCCCGGTGTATTCTGGGAATACACGGCCCAGGTGGCAGGGTCTTGGGGTTGCAAACGCAGCAGAGCCGTGTGGGTGCAGAGCTCCTTTGCGCACGTGTCGGGTTTCTGAAAAGGGTCCGTTTCTTTTTTTCCTCTAGGGAGCTTTACTGCTGGAAACCCGGCCTGGAAGAGCGTCCTGGGATCTCGGGTGAGTTGGCAGGTTAGTGTCAACAACTAACTGTTGTTTGCAACTTCAGCGCTTTCTGTGCCATCTCCTGAAATGGGGTAGGTAGGTGGTCCTTCGTCTCTCCACTGCCCCCAGAGGCGTTGCAGGTGTGGCTGCATCTGTGTCACATTTGTGTCATTGGGTGGCAGAAAGAAGAGAGGCTTATCTACGCCCAGTGTTCAGCTGGTGAACGTCTGGATGATTAATAGTCTGACACTTGACAGTGCATCTGGCGGTGCCTGTTAGCTGGCAGCCTCAGGCCACCGTGTAAAAGCCCTTGGATTGTCCTAGTTCTTGGGTAGCCTCTGATGGGGACGTGGGTCCCTCAGAGTTCAGGTGGTCTGACTTGCCGAACTTCTCAGTTATACGTATTTGTCACAGTGGATGAAACAAACGATGGCGCCTGAGATTTTCTTCTTGGGGTTAAGTGAACACCACAACCTAACAATCCAGTAAAGTTCAAATTAATTCAGATTAAAGAAGCTCAGGTTGAGAGGGTATGGGAGTCCCTAAAGAAAAGCCATCCCAGGTGCTTCAGACACTAAGCTACTTCCAGGTGCCAGCGCTGGCTGTCCAGGTCCATGACCTCCACTTTGGGCTGTCTGCCAGGGCTCTGCAAGGTGATGGCAGAAAAGGTAAAGGACGCTATTCATAGTTAACTTCTGCCACCTGCCTAGCCACCCGGTCAGCTTCTTCAGAATCCTGCAGAGGTGGTTTACTGGCCCCTGGTTGGGTTAACAATAACAATGACAGCCAGCTTGTATTCTATTCTGATTTGGGGCTAAGCATTTTTGTTACTGTTACAGGAAGGAAGGTGATAGCTAGCCTGTGAAGGGGGCCAGAATAAATGACCAGCACCATCCAGAAGAAGGTAAGAGGAGAAATGAGGCTAGCTCCCCCTGGGGGGAGGCCATATTCCTGGGCCTGGCCAGGTGGGAAGCCAGGTGGGAAGGTGAGAGGGACTGGCTGCCCTGCAGGTGCTGGACCTACTGGCACCACAGATACAGCTGCTTTGCTGCACCTGGGATGTCAGGGCAAAGAGGAAGTGGCTATTTCTACGCTCAGTGCTCAGAACAGTGGGCACTAAGAATGGTTTGTAGCCGAACATGCCTCAGCTGCCGTGGACGCGGTTGCTTCTACGTACGCTCGGCAGGCACACCTACCCTCGGCTTCTGCCTGGGAATGTGGAGCCTGGCACCAAACGCTTTTTCTGATTTGTCTGTAAAGAGACCCTTTATGGATATTGAGTGCACCATGCATGTATATGAGCTTTTGGCACAATGGGATTGACCGGGAGGAGGTCTCTTTCCTGAAAACTCCCTCTGTAGGTTTGTCTGCAGAGGGCTTTCTGGAAGTCCTTGGGCAAGTGTGTTGTGCATCCCTGGCTGAGAGCTGCTATGAGTGGCCTGTTGTCCCTCCCTGTGCCTCCAGACCCCTGCTTTAAGGACCCTTTGAGAGGAGAGGATGTCTCGTCAGGCTGGGGATGGGAGGGAGGCCAGAGGGCCGCACCTGGCTTTGTAAAGGTCAGGCCTGTGTGGAGCCCAGTAAGCCCTGGTCCAAACCAGGACACTGGTGAGTGGAGGGATGTGACTGGGGCTGTCCTGCCTCCTTGCAGGTGGAGAGCCCAACACCGGGATGAGTACACAAGACTGGGGCTGAGAGACCCACTGATTTCAGGTGAATAAGAGTAATATGTTTTGCTTTTTTTTTATTATTATTATTTTTTTAAGGCATTTTTGCAAAGCGTTGAAAAGCAGTTGAGTGTGCTCAGCTGAAGTTTGCCCCCATGAGATGGCTCTGTTGGGGCCCACGCAGCAGGAACCCTTAAGAGAAGGGCTTAGTAGAGACTGTTTGGACTCCAGGAAATCCAGGCAGGCTAAGGCTTAGGGAAGGGGTCCAGACAAATGGGGCGTCTGCCTTTGCTTCTGATGCAGTGATGGTTTGCAGAGGCACCCCCCAGTGGCCAGTGTGGCCCTGGCTCTGCTCTCAGATGAGTTGCCTCAGGGACAGGGCACACCCCAGCTTGGAGGTGCCAGGCCTTCATGTGCCCTATGTGCACCTTGTGTCGGGGACTGAGGATGAGGAAGATCTTCCCTGCAGGGTCCTGGTTCTTAATCCAGCCATTGTGTTCAAGGGGGAAGTAAGATCTTCACAAGCAGAGCACAAGCTGGGTGGGGCTGGGGGACAGAGGGAGGGAGCATCTGAAGCAGAGTCCACAGCCTATGGGGAGCCTGACACAGGGCTTGATCATGACCCTGACAACAAGACCTGAGCTAAGACCAAGAGTTGGACGCTCCACCGACTGAGCCACCCAGGAGCCCCAATTCTTTTTTTTTTTTTTTTTTATGATTTAATTAATGAGAGGCACAGAGAGACACAGAAGCAGAGACATAGGCAAAGGGAGAAGCAGGCTCCATGCAGAGCCCAATGCGGGGACTCGATCCCAGGACTCCAGGATCACGCCCTAGGCTGAAGGCAGATGCCCAACCGATGAGCCACCCAGGCGTCCCAGGAGCCCCAATTCTAAACTTTTTTGTGCTATATTTGGATTATTCCTCCTCTACCCCACAAGGAAGAAAAATCTAGTTGGGGGAAAAAGATGTATGTAGGATGAGTTTTAAGGTAAGCTGAAGGGTTGAGTGATTTTTTGCAATAAAAGTGTTTCTCTTGGCAAAACTTGAAAACTTGGTCTTGAATAAATTGTCTTAACTTGGGATCCCTGGGTGGCGCAGCGGTTTGGCACCTGCCTTTGGCCCAGGGCGTGATCCTGGAGTCCCGGGATCGAATCCCATGTCGGGCTCCCGGTGCATGGAGCCTGCTTCTCCCTCAGCCTGTGTCTCTGCCTCTCTCTCTCTGTGTGTGACTATCATAAATAAATAAAAATTAAAAAAAATAAAAAAAATTGTCTTAACTTGGCTTTTCCTTGCACTGATTAGCTGAGGCCCAAACAGGACACCATGTGTGTGCATGTCCATGCATGCACCTGTGGGTGCAGGTAGGAAAGCTCCTCTGGTCCCAAGTCTATGACATTCAGGGAAGTACATGCACAGAGTGTCCGCTCCAGGTTCCCATGTTGCCTTTCCCAGGCGTTTTTAAAGAACCACTTTGAGTTAAGCCTGCAAAAATCAGTGGCCTCTGCTCCCCCCTCCCCCCATGGCCCAGGATGGGGACACTGCTCCTCCCCCAGGTCCCCAAGCCTCCCCAGATCTGGGATGGAGAAGTAATAAGACCTGTGACTACTTTGTGGAGGTTTAGAAACCTTATCTTTCATCAAAACGATTCCAGGGTTTCCACTTTGCAGAATGGAAGCAGAGGGAGCCACCTGTTGACCCCATGGGGTGCCTTATGCCCCCTTCACCCAGCAGGTCACAGCCTGCACATCCTCAAATGCAGGGCACCTGCCAAGGAAAAGGGCATCGGGCTCCTGCAGCTTCCCCTGTGCAGGGGGAGGGCAAATGCTTGACTCTTTCCTGGGTTTCCATCTAGTCTTTCCCTGAAGTCTGCTCACCCTGAGGCTGTGTTGTGTGCAGCTGGCCTGCAGGAGGGGGTTCTGTAAAGAGTGAGCCGGCCCTGCCCCTTGTTACCAGGACACCTGGGTCTTACTCACCTACAGCTGCCTCCATCTGCTCCCTTCCTCGTGAACCCTGCCACTACCAGGCATGGGGGCTGGTCTTCAGCAGGAGTGGGACATTTCAGTGTCTGGCATCCCATCACTCCCCTCCCGCCCCCCAGAATGGGGCTCTAGGAGAGACCGTACGGGATGCCTGCTGACGCTTCTCCAGTGAACTGACCCAAAGGACTGTGTTGCATTCCTTCCAGCTTGGGCGAGGGCAGCTCCCATGTTTGAGCCCTGTAGGCCATGGATGGTGGGTGTCAAGCCAGGGACCCAATGTGCCATGAGAGAACTCCGGCCTCAGAACAGCTGTTTATTTACATGTCGGGTTCTTCAAAGTAACAAAGCCCAGGGGGAGCCCTTTGGTCAGGCTCCACCTGCTCCCTCCTGCCCCCCATCCCCTTCCAGCCTCTCCTGGTCCAGCTCCGCAGGCCCTCTGTCAGGGTTCTTGGCATCTGAAGCTGGGGAACGAGGGTGAGGGGGGACTACACAGGGCTTCCCTGGCTTGTTGCAGGAGGGTCACAGGAACTGCCTCAGGATGCTGGAGCAGGCCAGGCCTCCAAGCTCCTGTGTTCCTGTCCTTGGCTGGAAGGCAGAGTGAAGACGGGCACCAAGAGCAAGGGTGGCTCTCCAGGGCCCAGGCAGCCCCCTGGGAGTGAGAGGAGCAGGATGGGGGCGCTTGTCCATCAGGAGTACTTGAGGTTGGAGCAGGTGGCCCCCTGGGATGGGGAGGAGCAGGCTGTGGGTCCTCATCCATCAAGAGTACTTAGGGTTGGAGCAGGCGGCCCCAGGGGTGGGGGTCCTCGTCCATCAGGAGTACTTGGTGTTGGAGATCTCTTTCCAGAGCAAGGTCTTCAGGTGGCTCAGCACCAGAGAGTGGTGCGCCTCCACCTGGCTGGCCAGCCCGCTGAGCGTGGTGCAGGTGCGTAGCTGCTTGCCCAGCTCCTGGCGCAGGTCGGCAGGGGCGCCGGGCAGCAGGTAGTCCCGCAGCAGCTCACACACCTTGGCCAGGTTGGGCTGGATGAGGTCGTCCTTGCACTGTCTCATGAGCTTGTCGCAGGGGGCCCGGCAGTCCCGGCCGTAAGTGCAGTCCCTGCTGTGCTCACAGCGGCGGCCCTGCAGGAAGCGGCGCACGGCCGCCTCGGGGGCCACCTGCTGCAGGTCAGCCATCCTGAAGTCATACTGGGCCGTGTAGCCCACGTTGGCCAGTGTGGTCTCGCACATGTAGAAGGTCCCGTAGGCGCCGTGGAAGAGCTCCTCCACGAACTCAAGCAGGCCGATGGCGACTTTGGCCCTCCATGGCCAGGCGGGCCCCAGCCACCGCTGCAGGGCTGAGTGCAGGGCAGGCGGCAGCAGCGTGTGCAGCAGGGGCGGCAGGGCAGCCCCATGCCAGGAGCCATGTGGTACCCCCTCGGTGACATAGAGGTCCCCACAGGAACCCAGCAGCCTGGATGCGTGCTCCTCCTGGAGGGACAGTAGTAGCAGGAACTCGTTCCGCTGCAGCAGGGCCCACACCGACTTGGCCTCGGCCAGGGACACCCGGCTGTCCTTGTTGAAGTCGGCCATGAGCAGCACCTGGCCGACCAGTGCAGGCAGGGACGGCAGGTCTCCCAGGGTCGCCTAGCATTGAGAACAAAAGGAGCCCGAATGAGGGCCAGTGGGCTTGACCTGGTGGCAGGTCTCTAAGGTAGCAGGAGGCCCTCCCTGATGGAGCTGGCTCAGATCCTGGGATGATCACTGAAGGGGGGGCACCCATGATTGCCAGCACATCTGCCAGCTGGGGAGAGCCCACCTCCCAGTACACAGAGGGAGGGGACAACTCAGGGCTGTGCAAAGCTACCCTTGCCGTCTCCTGGAAGCCCTTGCTGACCACTGGTGCCCCCTCACTTCTCCAGGAGCTGCTCCCGGGGCTCTGGGTCCCGGCATCTGCACCAAGATTTAGAGCTGGGGAGCACAGAGGTGAAGGTGCTCCTGCCAATCCCTGCCTTCTGTGCACACACAGCTCCTGGCTCTCCCCACACAGATGCCCCCTGGGCGGAGGGGGGCCCCTCTGTACCCAATAGGTGCTCCCCTGAGCAAGGGTCTGCTCGGAGCTGGGGTCCAGCCACATGCCTGGCTGGGGGCTCTGACTCCCCCTGCCCTGAACTCCACACGGCCCCCAGGAGCCCACTGACCTTGAGGAAGCTGAGGGTCATCTCTCGGAACTCCTTAATCGAGGTGCCCCGAGTGGGCTTGTCGAACAGCACCAGCTCCTGCCGGGGGGCCAGGTCTGACCTGGCCTTGGGGTCCAGGCCCTCCTCGATGCCACACTTAATGGTCACCTCCTTGCCCTGCCACAGCCCGCTGTACACCTGGATGGGGCCACAGGGGTCCTCCGAGCAGACGTCCCCTCCCGCTGCACCTTGTGTCTGAGCCCCGGGCCCCCAGGCAAAGGGCAGGAGGGCCTCCCAGCAGGGCCCCGGGGCTGAGCCCGGCCAGAGCCTGCTGGGCTTACCTGCTGGCCCGGGATGGATGACAGGCACGTCCTCCACTCCACCTTGTGCAGGTTGCACAGGTCCTGGCAGATGGAGCCAGAGATGATGCCCTTGCGGTACTGGTCACACTGGGGATGGGAGGAAGACACCAGGACGTGGCCTGAGGAGGAGGGGCCCCTCCCCTGGCTGGCTCTGAGTCCTCTGGGGTGCGGGGCAAGTTGTGACGCCATCACACATGCCAGCTGCCCCTGGTTCTTCAGCTGCTCCACTTGGCTCAGCTCTCTGTGGCCACATCTGAGCCACGCGGAGGGCCTGGGCACCTCACCCCACTGGCAGGAGGGTTTGTTTGCCAGCCTCTCGCAGAGTCACAGCCACTCTTACCACCCATCCCCACCGTCCCTCAAGGTGGGCTCTCCCCTGTGGCAGGAAGTGGGAGCAGCAGAGCTGGACATGATGGGGCCCTGCCCCTGCCCCAGGGTGATGGGAGGGGGCTACTAGCAGGGTCTCGTGGGGCTCCCCCCCACCCCCAGGTTCTGGGCCTGGGGCTGTCCCTCACACAAGCCGCCCGCCCGCCCACCCCCCAGGCCACCTCATTAGCTAGATGCCCTGTGAGTGGGAGCTGCTTGCAGCCAGAACCAGGCTGGGCTCCACTGTGGCTGCCCTGCAGGTCTGGGCTGACCCAAGCAGGAAGGTGGGGGCACCCCGAGGGGATGGGAGTCCAGCATCTGCAGCTTGGAGCTGGTGGGGTGCATTCCTGGAAGTGCATCACCGTTGCCATGGAATCCGGCCCTCATAGAGCCTGGCTGGGAGGAAGGAGAGGGAAGCGAGCGCGGGGAGGAGTGGGGAGGACGAGGAGGATGGGAGGACGCAGAGCAGGGCACCACCGCAGTGTGGGGAGGATGGAGGGCAGGCCTGGGACAGAACCAGAGGCCTGAGAAGGAGGCGTCAGCTATGGTGTCATGCAGTCGCTGGCTGCTCACCCAGATGGTAAAGGAAACACAGGGAAAAGTCATCCCCCTGCCAGCAGTGGGCTCTGGGCCCCAGCAGCACAGGGCCTTCTGGGTGGGCAGCCAGGAAAACGCTTGTGCCCAGCAACCCTCCCCCCCCAGGGCCAGGGAAGGAGCCTCCTGGCCACACTGGCCTCCAGGCTGGGGAGAGGCTCCCTGGGGGCTGAGGGGGCAGACTGCCCCGTGGCCTCAGGGCACTTCCAGCCCATCAGGCTGGGGGCACAGGGCCCTGCGTCCCAGCCTGTTCCCCATCTACAGGAGGCTGCATACCTGCTAAAGCCTCAGAGCCCGCAAGAACCTGCCCCATGACCCTGGTTGCTTTTGGACACGCTGTGGAACCCCCACAAGGCAGGCAGATCTCCTCAGGAAAGGGGAGGGTGCCCCCACAGCCCAGGGGCAACCCAGGGAGACAGCCTTAGCCAAGTTTCGTGGGTCTCAGAATCCCCTGCTGAGCCTCCGGCAGCTGCTCCCTGCATCCCTAAGCGCCCCCCCCGCCCCCCGCCGTCCTCACACCTGCAGTGCACCCCAGCCCCAGAGCTCACTACAACCCTCACCCACCTCTCAGGGCCCTTGGCTGCCCCAGCACCACCCTCACCCTGAGCAGTCCACACAGCAGGGCCTCCCCTGCCAGATGCCCCCATCTGCCCTACACAACCCCCAGACCCCAGGACATTGAGGGCAGAGCTGAGTTCCAGTGCCCAGCTCAGGCCTGGCCCCTGGAGGCCACCATCATGGGGGAGGCAGAGGCCTCTCCCCCAGTGTGGGTCCTGCATGCTGGGCACTGGGTGCTAACTGGGCCCCGGGGAGGTATGCAGCCAACAGTCGGGACTAGACCCCTCTCAGCCTCTTGCAAATCCTGTCACGGGGGTCCCCAGGCCCCCACTCTAACCCCACCAAACTTGGCCAGAGCAGGCCTGCCGAGCTGGGACATGGGGCCCCCTTCAGTTTACGGTGGGGAGCAGCTCCAGGCTGCGGTAACGTGGATAGGGCGGCTCCTGCAGGCCCTCTAGGCCTGTCCTGGGGCAGCAGAGCCTAGGCCCTCAGCTCGCCGGGGAGGCCAGGCAGGGCGCAGAGCTGGGTCAGAGGAGTCTGGGGCTTGCTGGGGCCCCCAGGGCCACTGTGGTCCTGTCCCCTCAGCCCGAGTCGGTGTGGCCACCAGGGGTGCAAACGTGAGCCCATGTGCCTTCATGTGTATGAGCACTTGGGCTCATCGCACCCACTCCCCCACATGCACACCCATGGACTTGCATGCACTCACGAGTGGCCTGCTTTGAGGCCACAGGCTGGGACTCTGGCACTGCATCCGATCCCTAACTCTGGGAGGGGCGCTCAAGGCCACTAACGGTCTCCCTGCTAAAAGTCCTCCCCCCAGGCATCTTGGAACGTTCCAGCCACCAGCTCACACCCTCCTTCCCACCCACAGCGGCCTCCCCACTGTCCCCCTGCCTCCCTGCCACTCCCTAGCCTCTCCCACACCCAGTGCCATCAGATCCATCTCAAAAGTCCACTATGCTGGCGCCTCTGAGGATCCAGGGCCACCTCTGAGTGGCCAGCACCAGGTGGGAAGGAGGCCCGGGGCTCACTGCTCCGCGTCAGCCCAAGGCCGGCCCCCGGCGACACTTACGATGACCACCTGACACACACGCCCACGGCAGAGCTCCGCGTAGGACGAGTAGTGCACATACACCATCCAGCTGCCCACGAAGATGCCCAGCCAGACCAGGAAGACGTACTTGACCCTGAGGCCCGGGAGCCGGCCCTGCAGGAGAGAGGCCTGTGAGGATGCACCAAACCCAGGGTGCGTGGGTCCCCCGGCCTTCCCAGCCTTCCTCTCCCAGGGCCCAACACCCTGCTCCGCTCCATCACCCTCCACCCTCCATGCGCCCACTCTGGGGTGGGGGCAGGTGCCTGGTCCTCCCAGACTTACATCTCGGCGCAGGCAAAAATAAACCTCAAAAGGAAGGAGGACACAGGATTGGCAACTCTATTTCGATGAATAAAAGTATTTTTCAGAGATTTTTCTCCCATCTTGCTCTCATTTCATGATGACCTTTAACCTCGGCACAAGGTCAAGCTGGAACACCACCACCACCTCCCACCACCCTGTGCACGCTGTCCTCTGATGGGTGGGGAGTCCTCGCTGATGCGGGGCCAGCGTCGGGGACCCAGGTAGAGGCGTGGAGGCCGCTGGTGTGGAGGGCAGGCCTCAGCAGCCCTGCTGCCCATACAGGACTGTACCCCCATGGGCATTGTCCCCAGAGCCAAAGAAGGGCCAACCCAAGGGACCACTGGCAGGTGAACAGGGTCCATCTACAGCACGGAAAATCATTCACTGTTTAAGAGGAAGAAATCCCGGCACCTGCCACAATGCGGATGGACCTGGGGGACACAGTGCCGAGGAAGGTGAACCTGGTGCAGGGGGACCAGCCCTGAAGGACTTGCTCCCAGGAGGCTCCTGAGGAGTCAGACTCACAGACACGGGGGTGGGGGGAGGTGTGTGTCACAGGGACAGAGTCCAGTCTGGGAAATAGAACATGGACAGAGGAAACAGATGCATGACAGTGTGAGTGCGCTGACGCCCCTGAGACAGTAAATTTTAAGTTATGTGTATTTTCCCGCAACAAAGAATAAATGAGACAAGCCCCAGCCCCACTGCCAGAGCACTGCCCCCATGTCTGCGGTGGGCTGGGACGGCGTCTCTGCGGGCTCAGCCCTCCGCCAGGTTCCCCAACCGATGAGCAGAGTCACAGGGGCCAGGGGCCCAGACCCACCTGCAGCAGGTGCACTGAGGGTGTGGCCTCCCACCCAGCTCCCAAACCCGGGTTCCAGGGGCACCCTCTCCCTTCCCACCCTGCCCCCAAGCCACCCTGGCAAACCACAGGCCACCCGGACTGCTGTCCAGGAGCAGCCAGGTGAGGGCACAGGGTGACCAGTGTTCCGGTCAAGGTGGCTGGACCCCAGCCGCAGAAAGCAAGAGGCCCCTACCCGCATGGAGGGGCGCTATGTGCCCCAGCTACCCGGCCAACTCCTATGTGCCCCACTGGGCCACAGCGCTGGGCCTGCTAGTTCTGGGTCCTGGCTGGCTCTGAGAGATGGGGCCACCAGCTCTCTGGTGAACACAGGGTAGGTAGGGGCCCCTGGGCCCAGCACGGGGGCTATGGCCATTTTCACGTTCCTTCAGGAGAGGCAGGGGCCCCACCTCCTGCTTCCATGGCACCCATTCGCACTGCGGCCCTCCTGGGGGGGCTGCGGCAGGAGGACCCCAAGAGCCACAGGGCATGCTTGGAGCCTCAGTGGCCAAGGAGCAGTAGGCTGGGGTGCCCTGTGCAGGCCAAGAGGCTGGGCCTAGGGCCCACTTGTCCCGGCCACCACATCTGCTTCCGTCAGATTTGTTCAAAATGAAAAACAGGAAAGCAGAGAAACAGTGGGTGGGGGGCTGGGGAGCTAGGGGTGTTGTTTCGGCAGGACAAGGTCAGAAGACTTCCAGTGGGCAGAACAATGCTCTGCAAGGTGGCAGCCGGTGTGTGTGTGTGGCTTTTGGCCCTGAGACTGGCCCCAGGGGGTTGGGGGCTCCCAGCCAAGAGGAGGGCAGGCTGGAGCAGCGCTGGACTGGGGGCTCACAAAGTGGCAGTGGGCCCTCCCACACACTAGCCATACCCCAGCCAGACCCCCTGAGGCTCTCCCAGGACACAGTCCCCATTGGCAGGCTCCCACTGACCCAACATCCTGATCTTAGATACCTACTTCCTCCAAGAGCAGCCCCTGCCTGCCTCCCCCCCCCCAGGGGCCTGGCTCCCCCAGTGAGGGAGCCCCCAGGGAGTCCCTCGTCCTCAGTGCAGAGCGTCCCATGCAACTGCTCCCCAGGACCACCTGGCCCCGGTTCCTGATGCAGCCACTGACCAGGTCAGTCACAGCCACATTAGCCTCGGGCCAGCACGATGGCACCAACCTCACCTCCAGCCCAAGAGGGAAACTGAGGCTCTGAATGGGACCTGACAACAGCAAGTGGGTGGGGCCTCCGCAGGGCACAGGGAACCAGGGCATCCTGGGTCCTAGGTCAAGCTCTCCCCCCTCCCCCCATCCCTGCAGCAACCCGGTCAAGGCCCCTGGAGGGGGCAGTACACACCCGACTTCCTGGCCTAGGGGTGGGCCTTTGGACACCTCAGCTCTCACATGGTCAAGGGCTGGGGCAAGACCAGGATGTACCCCGAGGTCCTAGGTGGTCAAGGAGGGTGTCCCACACCAAACCCCAATGTTTCCTGGCTCTGAGGTTTTTCCCCACGGGGGAGCTGAGGACATTCAGGCCGCTGGTGCCCAAGGGCACCACCACCCTTCCAGGGACCCTATTGGCTGGGCCCTGAGACAGCCTGGGGAGGCCAGGTGGGGGCATCTCGGTCACAGGGTGGGCCTGCCTAGGAGCACCCAAAGCAGAAGTGACAGGCTTCTCAGCGGGGTCTCCCGGGGCAGACAGCGGGCCCCAGGCTGGACAGGGACATGTCCAAGGTCACGGTGGGGTCAGGGCACACCCCTGGACTCGGGCTGGCTGGGAGATGACCCAGGGGGGACGTTATGTCCTTCAGAGAGCGTTTCTAGGTGTCCCAAGTTTTCCATAACACAAACACAAACCTTCCCTCTTTCAAGTGAGGAAAGAGGAGACGGCTGGCCACGGCGTGGTTTCCGGGCCTGCGGGAGGGTCCAGCCCGGGGGAGGGCGGCCCCCGCAGCATCCGCCGCCCATCGGCGCCGCTCCCAGCCCTCGCAGCCCCGCAGCCGCCCCGGGGCCCCGCAGCGCAGCGCGTCGGAGCCCCGCGACCCGCGGCAGACCCCGGGGACGGACGCCTACCTGCAGGCCCTTGGAGAAGGGACAGAAGAGCACCAGGTGCGCCAGGCGCCGCAGCCGCCGCATGGTGGGCCCCGGCGTGCGCGGGCCCGGCTCGGCTCGGCCTCAGCCCCAGCCCCGCGGGCCGGCCCGCAACGGCTGCCCTCCGCCGCCGCCTCCCCGCGCGCCCGCGCCCGCGCCCGCGTCCGCGACCACGTCCACGTCCACGTCCACGTCCACGCGAGGGCGCACTCTGCCGGCCGGCCCGGGCGGGGGCGCAGGAGAGGGGCAGGGGCGGGGGAGGGGAGGGGCACCGGCAGGGAGGCGGGGGGCGGGGGAGGGGAGCGGCGGAGGGCCCCGCGGAGGAGGACCCCGCGGAGGAGGAGGGGAGGGGCTCCGGGAGGAGGAGGGGAGGGGCGGAGGCAGCGCGGCGGGCGTGGGGGAGGGGCGGCCTTGGGAGGGGGCGCCCGCGGCCCCGCCCCCGCCGCGCCCGGGGGCTTTGGCTGCGGGGCCCTCCTCGCGGACGCCCAGCCGGAGCCCCACGGCAGGGGGACCAGGAGCGGGGGTCCGCGTGTGGGTCCCAGGCCCGGGGGAGCGGCGGGCGCGGTGTGAGCGGGTGCGGGTCTCGCCCATGTTTCCCGGAACGCGGGGGGCGCACATTTGTCGCTGCGTGGCCCTGCAGCCGCCGCTCCCTCCGCGCCCTCCCGCGTGGAGCCCCTGCAGCCCCCGCGCTGGTCGTTGCCCCGCGTCCCGGGAACCAATGCCGCAGGGGCGCCTCGGGGTCCGGCCCTTGACCGGCGGAAGCCGGAAATCCCGTACCTGGTCGCGGTGGAGCCGCGCGCCGCGCCGGGCCGGGCTGGGTGCTCGGTGCGCGTTCGCCGGCGGCCGTGGGGTGGCGGGGGGCGCGGCTGCCCTGAGCTGCCGCAGTGGGGTTTGTGTGAGGGTGGGTTTTCCCTCCATCGGACGCGCCGGGCGGCTCGCTGACCCGTGAGCTGCTGTCACCTGCCGGTGTCGCTGTGAGCTGTGGCGGTGCCGCGGCGTGCATTTCCCTATCCGCTGACGATGTTAAAACACATTATCTTCTTTGCTAAAACCGTTTAATATTTTTTCCCATCTTCTCTTCGCTAATGTTTGTGTCCTCGTATTCACTGTGGGGAGTTCTCTGTATCTTCTGGAAGCCGCTACCTTATCAAACTGGTGATTCGCCAGGAGTGTCTCCTTCAAAGGTTTTTTTTTTTTTTTAATGTATTTATTTATGATAGTCACAGAGAGAGAGAGAGAGAGGCAGAGACACAGGCAGAGGGAGAAGCAGGCTCCATGCACCCGGAGCCTGACGTGGGATTCGATCCCGGGTCTCCAGGATCGCGCCCTGGGCCAAAGGCAGGCGCCAAACCGCTGCGCCACCCAGGGATCCCAGGAGTGTCTTCTTCAAAGAGCACAAGCTCCTAATGTTGACCAAGCCCATGACCCACTTTTTCCTGTTGTGGTTTGTGTGTTTCTCACCAGTGGCATCGGAGAAATCTGTGGAGCCCAGCTGCACAAACATCTTCGGTGTTTCCCTCTAGAGACTTTTTACAGCAGTGTCCCCGTGTCCCTGTGGTCTCACTCCCCACCATGGCCGTGGTCCTGGAAGGAGATGGCCTTCCTCCTGCCGGATGCTCAGGCCAGCAGCAGCGCCCGCAGCACTCCTCGCCTGCACCCCTGCCTCCTGCCTCTCCTCCAGCGGGCACCTCACCTCTCATGGTGTCCCACAGGGGTGAGCACAGGGCGGCGTGACAGCAGGAGAGCAAGACCACAGCCATGTAACTTTGGTGCAGCATGCCATTACCGGCAATCTATTTTTATTACATTATTTTTTTAAAAGATGTATTTATTTATTTGTGATAGAGAGAGAGAGGCAGAGACACAGGAGGAGGGAGAAGCAGGCTCCATGCAGGAGCCTGACGTGGGACTCGATCCCGGGTCTCCAGGATCATGCCCTGGGCTGCCGGCAGCACTAAACTGCTCCACCACTGGGGCTGCCCTTTTTATTACATTATTGTCACTGCTGTTGTCCGCCTAGTTTATGAGCTGGGTCACAGGCATGCATGTCATGGAGAAAACACAGCCTATATGGGGGTCAACACTGTCTGTGGTTTCGGGTGGCCGCTGGGGGTCTTAGAACGGGTCCCATGTGGGTGAGGGGACCTACTGTCTTGGGTTTTGCACGCAGGCCCATGATTCTGGTCGAAGGTAACTTTTCTAAACCGTGCGGGATGCAGGGCAAGGTGGCATTTTGGGTTTTGGTTTTGTGTTTAGGGATTTTTCTTTGGTGGGCTTTTTCCACATGGATGTCTAGTTACTCTGGCAAATTTGTTGAAAGATGAGCTCCTGTGTGATGTTATCAGTGCTTCCTGTGGGTCACCACCTTTCGAGCAGCCTTCCCCCAGCAGCCTGGACACTGGTTTTCAGGAAGTCCCACTGGGCAGATTCCCAGCGATTCTGCAGGCACCACGGTGACCTCTCCACCACTGCGGCCCAGCCTGGGGCCAGGGGGCTCTGGCTCAGCCCTCGTGGGGGTTTGCTCTTTAGGCCGTGCCTCTGTCGTGTAAACTCTACTGTGCGCATTGCCACGCAGTCTCTGTCACCTGATGGGGTCCTGACTGACACAGGTCAGGTACAATAAAGGACCCAAGCATTTTTATAAAACTGAGACCCACTATACCCTACACTTGGGACCATGTGGCCCACCCTCAGCCACTCAGTGTCCTCAACCAAGTGGTCATTACCCTTGGAACTAGGCCCATGACGGTCACATGGGGGAGCCCAGGTGGCTGGACCAGAATTAAGTGTATGCCCCGTAGGGCCTTTTGGGGCACCCGGGCTGGCCAAAACGTGCCCTGAGAGGAAAGAAGCGTCCTGCTCAGGAGGGTCAGGGTAGAAGCCTGGATATCCCAACAGGACCTGGATGCTCCCCAACCCTTTCACCCTGGTCATGACTAGGGAGGTGGTTGAACAAGGAGTGCTTGTCGGGGGGCAGCTGTCGTACCCAGGCCAGGGAGAGAGTGCAGGGGTGGGACTAGAAACCTGGAAGAGCGCACCCTGGGGGAGGCTGCACCCAGCTCAGCAGCAGTAGGTGCCAGGCCGCAGGACACTGGAGGGCCCCTGACACCTGAGCAGCAGCCCACATGGCTGTTTTCAGTGACACAAGGAGCACCATTATCAGATCACAGGAGAAACCAGAGACCCACTGTGTTTTGGGGGCCCCGGGGGGAGGTGGCCGGTCAGCAGGGGTGGGGGTGCTTGGGAAAGCAGCCCAGTGGCAAGGTAGGAGGCATACCCCACAGCCCTGAGACAGCATTGACGTCTGAGGGCATCAGTTTGCCAAGAGCTGGGGGTCGCTGCCTGGGGCTGTGTCCCCTGCCCCACCCCGGGCAGGAGTCCCATTTGGGGTGTTGTGACCACCTCCGCCTCAGGTGTACGAAGTCTGGCATGTTGCCCCCCATCTGTTATGCAGGCTGTCACCATGCATGGTGCATATGGAATGCCGGGTACAACGGTGGCTGGGTGGTACAGCGACTTGGCATGGTCAGGGAGCAGGCGCCCGCCGCCCTGAGTGTCTGCAAGTGGCCCGGTGACCGCCAGCCGCCGTCACTTATTTCCACAGTGCCCAGCCCCCAAGAGGGGAGCCTGTAGCCTGTAACCCTGCAAGTAGCTGTACTGGCTTCCTAGGGCTCCGTGACCCAACGCCACGGCCTGAATCGCTGCAGGTAATAGGCAATGATTCCGCAGCCATCCTGGAGAGCAGAGTCCGCAGGCTACGTGTCAACAGGGTGGCCCTCCCTCCGAGGGTTTCAGGGGACAGGCCCCGCCTCTCCCAGCTGCAAGCGTTGCCAGCCATCCTTGGTGTCCCTTGGCTTATGGATGTGTCCCCACCGTTTCAGCTTTCACTGCCATAGGCTGGTTGTCCCCTGCCTGTCCTCTCTCTGTCTTTGTGTCCTCACCTTCAAAGAGCCTATTTCCAAAGAGGTTACGTTCTGAGTTTCCAGGTGGATGTAAATCTGTGGAGTGTTTGGTGGGGAGGGGACACTATCCAATCACTACACAGACCAAACAGCTGCATCATTGGAAATAGCCCAAGAGTTAGTGAAAATATAGGGACCCCAATATAAGAAAAGTGGCTTAATCAGGAGAAAAAGGTATTTATCTCTCATGTAGCACTCTAGGCTAAGCAAGCAAAGGCTGGGAACCCATGCTGTCTGGGAACTTACATTCCTGCTGCCCTTATTGTGCTGCCATCCTCAAAACGTGGTTTCTGTCTTGCAGTTGAAAATGGCTGCCCTAGTGCCAGCCATCACCTCCACGCTCCAGCAAGGAGGAGGAGTGAAGACGTGCCAAGCATGCCTCCCCCTTTAAGGACCCGGAAATACATACTGCTTCTGTTCTAGTCCCTGTAAGTTTAGTCACGTGACAATGCTTGCCACAGAAAAGCCTGGAAATGTAGTCTTCATCTGGATAGACACACGTCCCACTAAACTCCAGGGTGCTGGAACAAGTCACAGGAAAAATGGAGAAATAAAGACATAGGCCCCCTGGGCACATGGCCCTTCCATAGCCCATCCCCTTACCCCAGGCCCCAGTAGCCTTGCACGGAGGTCAGGGGACACGTGCCCCCTGCAGACAGGCGTTCCGGGATGATGAGGGACGGGGCAGGGGTGTGGCCGGGGAGGAGTGGGGTTCCAGGCAGAGGAACAGAGTGTGCAGAGGCCCAGAGGCAACAGGCTGGACCAGGTATGAAATGCCTGCATTATAGCTGGGTGTGCACTGGGGGTGGGGGGTCTGAGCTAGGAGGCGGGGCCCTGTGGAACCTCCAATCTGGACTCAGAGCTACAGCCCTGAGAGCCTAGGGTCACGGGGACAGGTGCACAGACCAGTGGCTAGGGGCGCTGACAGTGGAATGGAGGCTGGAGCAGCCTGGGGGCTACTGGGGGCCCCAAGCTTGGGGCCATGTGCACTTGTCAGAGGCCCCCCACACAGCTGACACAGCCACTCCTCACTGCCGCCTCCTCTTATAAGGGCACCAGCTGGGATGTGGGGCCCATCCAGGTAATCCAGGGTGAGCTCGACTCGGGACCCTTGATATCTGTGCAAGGGTCATAGGTTCGGTCACACTCTTAGGTTCCAGGGGACGTGATCAAGGTGTGGGGACACCGGCCAACCCACTACAATGACGAAAGCAAATTGCAAAACAGTACACGTGCAAATTGCAAAACAGTACCAGTTTTGTTGTTAAAGAA